CAACCTCTGACCATCTTGAAGTGGAGCCTGATGTGCAGCCTTAATCTAAAAACAAATGCACTTGGACTTGCAATTAACCACAAAGACATATGAAAAATGGATATTTTTTTCTCTTCTAGTCACTTTCTTAAAATTATAGTGGACAGTTATTGTTTTTCAGACTAACCTCTGGGGGTTTTGCTAAAGAATATCCATCTGGATAGAGATTCAATGTGAATGAAACTTCATGCTCTGGAGGAAGAACAGGAGACAACCAAAAGAACTCAGAATATAAACTCGATAGAAGATACTCAATCAATTGAATCAATCCAACATGCAGATATGCTAAGTGCTTTACCAGAGACAGATGAACTTGAGACATCGAACACATCCAAAGCGCCCGCAACAATGTCACCCTATTTCACAGAACATTACAGGTTATGGTATAGAAAAACCAAAGCAAAGCATAAAATATGACATCCATACCACCCCTTAACTCCACAGCCTGTCATTTATTTAAGGGTTTTCAATCAACAAGAACAAAGAGTTTCACAATTGCTATAAATCAGAGAACGTGTGAAAAATAATAATTAAGGAAGCAAAGGACGAACAACCCATCTAATAACAATGAAAAACCAGGGAAGCAAAGTATTTTAATTTTTCATTACCATCTCTTAAAGAGATTATAAGAAAAGGAACAAGAGAAATGACATGGGCGACACATCATTTGGCAACAACTTTCTCTTTAGCCCTTGTGAAATTACCAGAAATTGTGATAAATCACATCAACAACCTCTTCCGTTCATTAAATCGCATATCGTTGAAAAGTTTCTCAGTCTGCTTGGCAAGTAAGAAGCTCGATAAAAGGCAGAGAACAGAATCAAGAATCAATGCTTTACTTCCTACAACATCATACTGAAAAGATCTGACATGTGAAAAATTATCCACCTTCCCTACTTTCTTTAAGAAACGGAAGCAATCCAAACAATGATAACAAAAGCAAAGCATATAACTAACCATCAAATCAATTGCAATACGAACGTCATAAAACAAAAGAATTAAGAATTTACAATCTCAAAATCTACCTTCCTGAGAAAGTAACCAGTGCCTTTTATTGAACTAAGCTAAACTGAGATTTGAATGAAATTCCTTATGAAACCTAACATCAACCAAAGTACACAATCAATATACAACTTTTATTTTAATTCTCACTCAATGTTTTGCTCCTTGATTAAGTTGCCAAAATTACCTGGCGCTTTCTCGTAGAGGATTCATTCTTTGAGCCTATCACCGAGCTCTCTTTGAAATTCTCTGAGACCTCATCAGGAACAGTATCTGATTGAAAACGAGGCCTTGGACGGAACCTAGTACCAGTCTTTGAGACCTTAAAAGAGACCCCCATGTAGAAACTTTATTTATTTAGTGTTTGGATCATGAGAAAGTGAAGGAAAATCTGGGGAAGTAGTTTATACTTTTCGAGAGAAACCCATATTGAATTCTTAAAGAACTCAATTTCTTTTATAGGGGGTGTTCGAATCATAAGAAAGCCAAGAAAAAATATGGGAAGGTAGTAAAGAAAGGAAGAGTCTTTGAATACAACTTTAAGTCTTTCGAGAGCTGAAGAAGAATACCAAAGTTGATTTCTTTGAGAATTTGAATGCTTAATTGAAATACCCAGATTTTGTCCTCTTCGTTCAGTTTCTGCGAAAATTAAGGTTTGGTGGTGGTGTTTGGATGCTGAGAGAGAGTGGAGAATGTAAGAAAGAAGCAGTAGAATATAGTATCAATATAAACCTCAACTGAAATGCCAAAATGGGCCTTTTTATTTTTTGATAAATTCGAGATTTGATTGAGATTGTAAGAGGTTTTCTCGAGAAAAATGAGGAGGGTGCTTGTTTGGATGTGAGAGAGTTAGGGATTTAAAGAAAGAAAACAAGGCTGCAGGAGAGAGAGGGTAGGGATGGGCGGGTTACTAGGTTACTCTTTAGTCTCTGCTACAACAAGGCAGCGCAATTGTAAAGAACAAGCTAAAGAGACAATTTGGGTCCTAGAGATTCTACAGCCCCCTCGAGCAGCTCTTTGGGCCTATCTTTTATTTTATTTTATTTTATTTTGTAGAGATTATGTTTTAAAAATGTGTTATTATTTTAAAATATATTAAAATACTATTTTTTATTTTTAATATTAAAATAAAAAATGATAATAAGAATAATTAAAAAATATATAATAGTTAAATAACAATACCAAATATCATATTAATCCTTGATTATATCTCTAACACACAAAAATTAACTCACAAGAAAAATTCTTTTTTTTTCTTTTAATCCACGAGCGTTTAAAACTTGGATGATAAGGGAATACAATTTCTCTGCAAAGAATTAACTAAAGAAAAGGTTTCTTGATGCAATAAACAATTATTAATTTTTTAATTCAACCCTCTGTACCCTTCAACAACTTCCTCATTAAATCCAACTCGAAATATAATCTAGTCAAATACCTGAATAACTGAATTAATTTGCAAGTAAACAAGTTGATATTTAGCATTTTCATTTTTAACTACAAAAAAAATAAAATGATTAAATTTATTTTTAATTTATAATAAGGTCACTAATATTCATCTTAATGAAAAAATATTTTTAAGTTCCATCGAATTAAAAGACTAACTAGTTAGATTATAAACTCAACTGAATTTAAAATATAAATTTTATGAAAACTAACATGTTGGATTGAGATTTGGGATGGTAATAGATATTCATAAGTTAAATTTCTTAATATTTATACTCTATTTATTATACATCAAGTAATAAATTTAGATATTTATAAACTTTTTATTGGGTTTTGGATATCTATATAGGTATCCATTATCTATTATTATTTATTATGTAATAAAAAACAAAAGATTTAAACTTTTTTTGTTTGTTGAAAAGTAGGTTTTTTTCAAGTGAATTATTTTTTGATATTTAGTAGCGTAATGCAAAATAAATTGAAAAATAATTTCAATGTTTAGTTATGTCATGAAAATGAGCTAGAAAATAGCTTAAATATTTTATTTTTTTCAAGTTTATTAAAATGATAAGGAACAAATCTTACAAATTAAAAAACTGAATGAGAATGAAAATAAAAAAAATATAATTTCATAAATGATTACAAATAAAATAAATAAAAATCAATATAATAAAAATCAAATCTAACAAATAAAAAAATTAAAAGATGAAGAAATTAAAATAATAATAATTATCCTTTCATAAATTATTTTAAATAAAATAAATAATTAATAATAAAAATAATAAAGATCAAATCTAACAAATAAAAAAAATTAAAAGATGAAGAAATTAAAATAATAATAATTATCCTTTCATAAATTATTTTAAATAAAATAAATAATTAATAATAAAAATAATAAAGATCAAATCTAACAAATAAAAAAAATTAAAAGATGAAGAAATTAAAATTAAAATAATTATCATTTCATAAATCATTTTTAATAATAAAAAAAGGTAACAATTAAAAGAATGAGGACTAAATTTGATAGATAAAAAATTTCAATTAAAAAATGATAAGGGAAAAGCAAATAGAAATTATAAAAATGAGCACCAAAGTTAATATAAAAATAAAATTCTTATGGATAAAATTAAAAAAAAATCAAAATAAAATATATATAGCAATCAAAAGTTTGAGGACTAAATTTGATATAATCAACAAATGATATTTTTAAATTTTTCATAATTTTTAGAAAGTGTTTTCCGTTCAAAATAAAAAGAAAATATTTTTTCTAGAAATGAAGCTAAATTTTTTTTTAATTGAAAATTATTTTCTGTTAACCAATTTTTTTAATGACAAACAAACATATACAAGTTTGAAAAGTAATTTTCAAAAAGTTATTTTCAGTCAAACAAACAAGACAAGAAATTATTTTCCATCAAACATATGAGGCCTTAATATTTATGAGTGCATGAATGTGTATGGATGTATTAAAAAATCAAAATATTCTATAACTATATTTATATAATATAAATATATATTTCAAGTTAAGCTCGGATAGGTTTTAGATCGGGTATAATAATATTCATATCCTATTTATTATCCATTACTCCATTGGATAAGATAGCTATAAGAAATTTTTACTCATTCAAATTGATTACACGTTGCGAGAGAGAAAAAAAATTATGAATAAATTTATGGTTGTAGGAGCATACGAAGTTAAGTAAAAATATTTAAAAAATAATGATTTTTTTAACTTACAAATTATAATGCCCGAAAAGAAGAAAGGTTGATTTGAATCCACAGAATTAGGAAAGCATCACCTGGGGACTGTTTTTGCTGGTTGAGTTTCGTAGAGATAGAAAAAGAAAAGGTAGATGATTGCTTTGTTGATCGAATAGTTTTGGTTCCTTCCTCAACCTTAAATATTCTCAGTCAGTAACATCCATCTACCTTCACTTTGAATTCTTCCTGGCTTTCCTGACATTATTTTAAAACTAAATTTTACATCACTTTTGTAACCTAGCAATTTTCACTTCCTTCGGCTCCTCTCATTTTTGCACACATTGTCGAGACAGGCGACAAGCCAGCGCACAAACTGCGCATCCACAGGCCTGATGCAAGGCAGGTGCGGGCTGACGGATAGTGGACCTCTAGACGAACACAAGCTGATCAAGGGCTGATGAACACCATGCCCATGAGCCCCAAAAGACATCCTGGCGCATCATCAGGAGCTAATTCATAGATAAATCACAGGAATCCAAAAGCTCCCCCTGATTTGCTTCAGAAAAATATAATTAAAGCTAAAGTATCGATACATTGCTACATGTTTGACCAGAAACTAGCGAACTTTGTACAGCAGTGGAAGCTCTCGTTAAGGAATATCTCCAAGGAAACCAAACAAGCATCCCGGATGATATTGCATGGTAATCACTATAGTAGGATTCACGCATTAATGGAACGGAACAAATACCAAACTGCTGGTAAATACCCTATATCGGTACGGGATCACATGCGACAAATGTTTTTCACATTCATTCATGCTCACAGAGGTGCAGGGGCAGGGCTTTAATGACAGGAAAAATAAAGAGGAAAAAATGCATTTCACATTATCAAAATTACAGCTGTGCCAGAAGAAAAATAAAAAAAGAACAGGAAAAAACTCTACAAGGTAGATAAGAAGTTCAAGTTCTCTCCTATATAATGCTATTGGTTACCCAACTACATCAGGCTGAGGTAAGTTTATAAATAAGCACCATGACCTGATTTCACTAGCGCAAAACGTCAAGATGCAAGTTCCTCCTGAAGCTCCATATTGCATATTTCATATTCCCTCTCAAATAATAGAAACTCCTGAAAGTCCAGCGATTGAACAATGTTAGCTGAAGCTAATGTGACAAAGACACCCCCACCTCCTACCCCATTTTTCAAACTAATATAAAAGGAGGGAAAAGGAAAAGGAAAATCTGAATGAAAAATCAAGAAGTTTGGAAAAGAAAAGGCAATTCAAGTTGAAGAAAGTTTATCCCAAAAGTGACATGATTTGTCAAAGCTTTAGTGCTGTGCAACACAGCATGTACTAAAAATGCAGGCGTTGTAGCCAATAAAAGCAGTTAAGTCATAAATCTTCACTCTGTTCATATTACTTGATGATCAAAGTGTGCACAAATATTGCAATTGACACCAGTATGCATAGAGAGAAACCCAAATGGGAAATATTGCTGCATTTATGAGCCTCAAGGTCGAGTTTATTTTCTCATCCACTAACAAGCAGACCTAATAATTTACTAACCTGCAATTGTTGCTGACTAAACAATTGAAGATACCCAGTATCTGGGCAAGCAACGAGTTCCATCAACTCATCATGGCATTCCGGCGGATTACCCGACTCCATTAGTGAAACAGAAACCTGAGGAGCGGATATCATTAGTGGCAACACAGAAAAATGAGAAATGGCAATACTGTGAGTTTTGATAAAATGAAATTGAGAGCTATCCTACTAAAGGGTAAACAAGCCACAAACTTAATCATGAATGGATACACTATGAGTTTTGATAAAATGAAATTGAGAGCTATCCTACTAAAGGGTAAACAAGCCACAAACTTAATCATGAATGGATACAACAGCTTCTCTGTTCCAAATAAGAGATTACCTGCATGCATCGAAGAATGATTTCTGGAAGACAGCACCTACGACAAAGGCCCCGCACAATATATGTTGCTGGGCCTTCCAAAGTACCATCTGCACTTGTATACCAAGCATCTAATCTGGATATCTCCATTGTGACCCCAGCTTGGAACCGAGCAAGCTCACCTACATTAGATAAGTTTAAATCCAATTAGCAGTACATAAATGAAACCATAGCTCATACATAAAAACATATGTTATGCCATAATAGTTCCCTTCTGTAATACCATTTCATTTACTTTTGTCATACCAATTAGCACAACAAATAAAAATTTCCGTTAACAACTACTCTTTCACAAATTATTTATACTTTTTCTTTAACCAGTAATTTTGGTATGAACATTTGCACATGTATTATTCAAGTTATCAAAAAAATAATATAACAAATCAATTTTATGAATCTAACTTAAATAATATACTCTAGTTTTTTAGGCACTTAAATTTTAACAATTGATTACTAAAACAACACAGGAAAGTATTTCACTTTCATATATAACAGAAAGGACATAAAAGTCTAGGATTTCTTGAGAAGACTACTGTAGAAGTAATAGTTCTGAAAGAAATTCTAGCAAAAACGAATTAGGTAGTAATAAGCAAAGAATAGAGAACAAAAGGCTAATGACATGGTTTAAGATTTTTCAAAACAATAGATATCAAACCATAAATCTCGATTGTGCATGCAAAAGGACCCAAATGCCATCAAATCACCATGCGAGGCTAAGAATCTTTTCAGATATAGAATCAAACTTGATTCATTCTATTTCTACAATAAATTATACTAATCCAAGGTCAATTTTTCACTAATTACAATATCTCAGATTTTACAACTATTTATTTCAATAAAAAAATCTTTCCTGAAACCACTGAAGATTGACAACATTGTATTACTTACTAGCAAAAACGAATTAGGTAGTAATAGTTCTGAAAGAAATTCTAGCAAAAACGAATTAGGTAGTAATAAGCAAAGAATAGAGAACAAAAGGCTAATGACATGGTTTAAGATTTTTCAAAACAATAGATATCAAACCATAAATCTCGATTGTGCATGCAAAAGGACCCAAATGCCATCAAATCACCATGCGAGGCTAAGAATCTTTTCAGATATAGAATCAAACTTGATTCATTCTATTTCTACAATAAATTATACTAATCCAAGGTCAATTTTTCACTAATTACAATATCTCAGATTTTACAACTATTTATTTCAATAAAAAAATCTTTCCTGAAACCACTGAAGATTGACAACATTGTATTACTTACTAGCAAAAACGAATTAGGTAGTAATAGTTCTGAAAGAAATTCTAGCAAAAACGAATTAGGTAGTAATAAGCAAAGAATAGAGAACAAAAGGCTAATGACATGGTTTAAGATTTTTCAAAACAATAGATATCAAACCATAAATCTCGATTGTGCATGCAAAAGGACCCAAATGCCATCAAATCACCATGCGAGGCTAAGAATCTTTTCAGATATAGAATCAAACTTGATTCATTCTATTTCTACAATAAATTATACTAATCCAAGGTCAATTTTTCACTAATTACAATATCTCAGATTTTACAACTATTTATTTCAATAAAAAAATCTTTCCTGAAACCACTGAAGATTGACAACATTGTATTACTTACTAGTTGCAATCTCAATCATCAATCATGCATTAAATATGAAAAAACAGAGACTCTGTTCATATATACTATACTTAACCATGCCTTTAGAGAATAGAAGCAGCAATACAGTTTCAATTAAAGGAAACCTTATACTTTATGCCTGTTTAGGACTTTGGGTTTTAGTTCCATCTCTAAGATTAAGCATATTCAAAAATCTTTAACTTGCAAAACCCTTTAATTCATAGCTAGAGATATACATCAGGTTCTAAAAATTTAACAACAATTAAAAAATAGTGTTATTTATGGTTTAAAAGTTAACAGCACACCCATACAAGAGCCATAGTAATTTGTGCTTGCTCCTTAAAAATCCTTTAAAAAAGCAGAAGTATGATCCATAAAAAAACCAACAAACCTATGATATGGCTAAGTTATTAACAATGGAAAATAGGGATAGGAGAGAAAGTTAGAACCAGGAGTATTGTAAACAAAAAGATTTAAATATGCATTCATATTAAAATAAAGGCAAATATTTTATTCTTCAAAAATTAACAGAGAGAACATTTTGATAAAATCAGAATCAAGGGTAATCTAGACAAATCAATTGTTTCAACAAAATTTGAGCATTTATATGTAGTTATGGATACATTTGTGCATGAGTGCACACATGAACACACACTTTGGTGCGCATTCACATCATACCTCAACTAAACAAGGAAGAACTGCATGGACACCACTGTATATTCAGTGGAAAATTCAAAAGTCCAAGCATCATATAATCAATTGATAATTTCTAATTTTTAAAGCCAGCTGTCATGACAATACCTAGAACACCCCCATCATTAACTTGGTGTGATCCAAGTCTATCACCCTCTACTGCCAAACAGCGAAGAACAATCTCGATGCAATAATTGTCCCTAAGTGAAATGGTAACATTCACCTGCAATAACAACTCAGGTCATGAGCAAAGGACAGAAAATTAACTGAAAAAAGGATGACACAAAAAAGTGTGGAGTACATTATTTCCCCCACAGTCTGTAAGAGGTAGCCTCTAAGAATAAACAATAGGTATTCAGAAATTAACACGATGCATGCCATAATATCCCCGCAATCTGTAAAGGTAGCCTCTAAGAATATACAATAGGTACTCAGAAATTAACCATCATATGATGCCAGCCATTCATTTTATGGACCAGCTCATTCAAAAACCTTAACAGAAGACTTTAAAATTTTCTATATGAATATCAGAGGTCACTTTCGTTTTCAACAGAAAAAACAACATACCATTAATTGGCGGCGTAATACAACTTCCTCACACACTGAACTGTAAAGGGCACTCATTAATGCAGTGCAAATGGTAGCGTCTGGATGCATACATTCACCAGATGGCAGACAAAGCATAGCAGTGGCATGCAATTCAAGGAATACAAGCATTGTTGATTCAAATGTCTCATCATCAGGAGAAGCCAGCCAAGGATTTCCTTTTCCTGCAGCATTGAATATCAGAATGAGACAGGCAGAATTCCAGTCTTCAATGGAAACTATTTTATTAGAATACATGCTTACCAGTCTTCTGTCAAGTGTGTGTTTGTGGTGCATAAATGAAAAGGCTGGTTGAATTCACTTACTTAATAACAATGACATAGAAGAATTCAATGTCTCTTTGGCTGCTGCTGTGGCTCTTTGTTTATCCTCCACTGAGAGTTCAAGGGGAGGAACCTCACCATTCTCAAGCTCAATTTTGAGCCAGTTGCGATAAGTTGCATCAGAGGAGTAGTACTCACTCTAACAATTAATGATAATTGATTACAAAACCAACTAATTATCAGAATCTACAAAGAATATGAATGATAAAGAGATATAAATGACACATACCCAATCTTGAAACTCTTTCAGATTCTCAGAAACATAATCCTCCAGAGTATTTGGTAGTTCTGAAAGCTGCTTCAAAGGCTCAGCAAGTAAACTTAGCAATGCATGTGCACCTATTGGCATTGCTGGCACTCTCCACATAGAAATCAGAGCAAATTCCCTGAACAATATATTGCTACAAAAAGGAACAATAGCTAAAAAACTCAATCCACGAGAGAAGCTACATAACAAAGCAGAAAAGAGGTAATTTTTTTGTTTTTAACAATGTTTTTCCATTAGTAAGCAACAACTAGGTGATGAAATAGCAATCATTTCAGTCAAGGTTGTTAAAACAGCTTGCTGGCCTAAAATCACTGAGGCGTCTGCAAAATCAAATAGTAAAAATGGATAGTGAAATAGTAAGATCTAGCTTACTACCTGTAATAATTTTGAAAATGTACAGCTATATTTGTAAAAAAGGCATATAGATGTTCTATACAAAATTATTATGAATAGAATTCTGAAGTACGCATGCCTAAGAAACCCTTTAAAATACTGTGTTTCATTATTTGTAACGATTGCAAGTTCCATTCAAACATAACATATGTAAAAAATTTAAAACTATTTTGTATTTTGAAAAATATCCAAAGCAACTGTTGATTGGGGGGAGGGGGGGACATTTCACCAAGTCTTGTTCAAAATCAATATAAATGGTAAGGCTGGTCGATTGCTTTTTATTTCCTACAACATAAGAAAAACAAAAGACCTAAAGTAAAGGTACGAGAAAGTCAAAAAGAGGGGCACTAGGTGCACTATATGCTTCATGTTCCCATACCTAGCAGCGAGTACAGAAGAAGTCACAAGAAAATATTTAGCTCTATTATCTTCTTCTTACCGAGTACAGAAGTCACAAGAAAATATATAGCTCTATTATCTTCTTCTTACATCTTTGCATCTAATCACTGTTTTGCGTGTACCTTCCCATTCCAAATATCAATTTCATAGTCAAATCTAAATTTGGGTGATATAGGACATCTATGAGTAGAGAATACTGGAAATGGAAAATGAAAAAAGAAACCAGAGCCTGGTTCTTCTATCTCAAACAATTAGTTTTTTTCTGTCATTGCAACTATATACGAGGTTGAGAAAGGGTTTTATCTTCTATATTATTCTTTTTTAGTCTACCACAATGATTGAGCTTAGAGCTCCTCTTGATTTGCTGAAGCATAAGTCCATGAAACATGCAGTTATGGAATCATTCAAATCACATTGCAAATCATGATTTCAACAATCTCAATGTCTGAAATCTTTTGAGTCAACAACAACTGGGTTTTTCATATGCGTTGGAATGTTTGGAAGATTTCCATTGCAATACTGAGAATCAATTGTTTATCGAGTTAAAAACATTAAAGATGTAGAATTGCCAAATGTAGTTTAAAAACCTGTGTGTCAATGCCCGCAGAAGAAGTTTCACGCTGACTTCTTTCACATTGGTAATTGTGGAGGGTGGTGTAAAGCAGAGCCATTGGATTGATGTAGCTTTTTCAAGACTCTGCAACCGGTGCTGCTCTGCAACATCTGATGACTTGTCATATTTTCCACCTTTAACTTCCCGAGATCTTAACAGAATCCTGTTGTAAATAGAGACCCCACTTACACTTTAGAACTTCTTGTTTATCTTCCTCACAATTGAAAACATTTTGCTTAACTAACTCATACCTCTCAATAATTTCTTCAAAACTTCCTTTTGAATCATCCTCAGAAGAAAATGGCAAATATTCCATAGCAGAAAGGAAAATTTTATATTTGACATGCACACTACATGTCAAGAAAAAAGAAAAATAATTAGCATGTCATTGTGCAAATAAATGCAGGTCCTAACCATAACGACAGCTTAGTGCTTTCTGTTCATTTTAAAACCCTTAGAACAGTAAGGGTTGGCATTGAATTTTTTTGTGCAATGTTATAACTAAACAAAAGTCCATTGGCAAAGGATTTCTTCCTGAATAGTTAACCATCTAATTATGCATCCCAAATGTCTGCTAATTGCATTTAACAGCTCTGATCAAATATAACTGAGTTCTTTTAAGTAATAATATTAGAAGGCCATTTTCCTTCTTGTTGGGTCCACGCAAGGAGGGATATCAGAATGAAATTTGGGTCCACGCAAGGAGGGACATCAGAATGAAATTTTAGACACCCTCGAACTCTTTTTCATCAAAATGGATGTTATTAAGACTTGAACTTGCATCTTATGGTTGCAAGCCCGATACTTCTACAATTGTACCTAGCATTAGGACCCACTAAGAGACACCAAAGGAGAAGGAAGCTTGTAAAGACAACATTAATAACCATTCATTGTTACCTGCTATTTAGCCTCAGCTCCATCATATGCACAAAGAGGTCAATGCAACGGTGACGTGCAAGCTGAGAAGCGTAGATCCCAACCAACTCCTCATGTTGCTTTGAGAACAGAAACATCACATACCTGAAATTTGGAATTTCCAACTATGAGAAATTACCAGAGCAAGTTGGGCTTCACAACACGAGAAGCCACACTCTCCATGATACAACACAGATATGAAGGAACTTGTCCAGGAGCCGCTGCACTCTTGGAATGATTCATGCCATGTCAAACACATGTAGGAAATGTACAAGTCCTGATACTGTGAGTGAGTTTTGGGACTATTTTGAAAACCAAAACGATGCTCTGAATGCAATCTAAAAACTACTTGACATGACTTAACCAAAATACTTACATATGAAGAATGAGATCACCAACAGTCATGAGCTTCTCTCTAAAAGAATCCTGCATTTCCTCAGCATGTAAATACCTCAGCACAAGCACTAGGTGAGCACCAAAACGAATCATCTGAGAATCGCCATGTGGCCTGGTTGCAACCACAATGCACGGTGGTTAACAAGCTAGTAAGTTACAATAACAAATAAGAAATAAACATAATTGTAAATTTATATGATAGTAAAGGAAAAAAGAAAATATCCAGGAAACACTCGTCTTTTTCCCTGAACTGACCAAAAGAGAAGTGCAATGAAAAAGTAATCAAAAACTCAACTTAAAACTCCTTTACAGGTTTTAATTTAAACAAAAAGAACTCAAAAGACATCACCTGAAGATATTTTGATCATCCTCTGAAGGTGCTATCCATGACCAGATCATGTCTAGAAGATGTGGTATATTCCCTAACATTAAATCCATCTGTCAAGCAATGTATGGTCAGGGAGGAGCAGCCAAAAAGTCTCCATTGATATGACAAACAAAAATTAATTCTATTTACAAAAGAATTTCTTTGTTCTAGCACAAAACACAGAGCAAAAATTGTCAAGGTTGCATTCAAGGAGTAGGAAATTTGTTTTCTTTTTTTATTTTTTTTGAGACTTGAGAAGATTTTTAACAGGAATGAAGATATAGATTGCAAAATGGAGTACAAGACATCTTCCTTGAGATAAGGAAAAAGGAAGTCAAAGTGATCACTGCTCAATTTATTCTAAGTAGAAAAAAAATTGAGTTATCAAATGAAAACCCATATGCAAGTAACTAATTGTCTTCAAAAACCTCAATTTGCCGGTGCTGCTCCTTGCATTCTCGACTAACCGCTTCATTAACCAGTTCACTAAATCATGCAGAAAATAGCTAAATCAAATATCAATGCATATTATGCAATAATATTAACAAATTGAATTAGCGGATTAAAATTACCCTGAGTGGAGTTTCTGAAGAAGTGCTGAAAGGTTCCGTGGCTGCTGGTTCAGAACTTGTTGTGGCCAATTTTCTGGTCCAGCTGCATGAGCAGCACCATCAATTTGTCCAGGACTTCCATCGCCAACATCTCCATAGCTTTTAAGCTGCACCGTTCTTCCTGGTTGTGAGCGAGCTAGTTCTAAGTCCACCCGAGCATCAAGCCAAGACTTTGACATTGCCCAGCATGCTGACTGCAGACATATTGAGCATCAGATTTCATGCCATTGCAGCAGGAAGTAGTCAAAAGAAATAAAATAATTTTCTTCCTGTCGATGTGCGCACCACCTTTTTTGTGCCAAGTTAACAAAAATTCTTTCATTTTTTCCCATGATAATAATGTCACCACTTGATGAGCAAGTATGATTTTGAAGTAATACAATAAATAGTTTAAAAAGTATCGTGAGAAGAAAGAAATTCCTTTCAAATTTGCATATCAGAGAAATATACCTCCCAGTTTGTACAGATTGGAAGTATCCGCTTCAAGTTGCTGCATTGTGCTGCATATACAGCTACTTCATATTTCCCACCATTTTGCTCAGCAATTTTCTTCAGGATAAAGATGACAAGAAAAAATAAGTCAAATCAGATGAACACAATTGATATAGTGCATCCAAAACGAAAACATTAGACATCTGATCAACATGCCAGTAACATCTCTACATGGGCATAAATCACTGGATTAACACAATAGCAACATCTCTTTTGAAAACAAAGTGCAAAAGGTTCATATGAAAAATCTTTAACAAAGAAACTTGGAAAAATTACCTATGAAATGGTGACAAAAGAAGACTGCTATAATATGAACAGAAGAAAGGGCAGTTGAAATAAGGGTATGAAACACACGAGAAACTGAATGCAAGGGCAAAAAGCTAGTTGATCTACTTTGGTCAACCTTACCTCTGACGCACAATAGGAAGCCCATTTCCATAAATGCCATTGGTGACCAATGCCACTTTCTAATTCAATGGCTTGCAGCATTCTGTTCTTCCCATTTTTCACCAGGGCTTCAACAGAAGGAACGAGGTCCAATCCTCCAAATGGACATAAAGTTGCAGCTCTCCATGGCTGCCCAAAATTGAAGCATGTATCAAGAACAGGTAAGGGAAACCACAATTTGAAATTTATGTTAACTCAAACCTCTAAGACTTTGATTACCTGTCCAGCTGAGCGGCAAAGGTCAAGTGCCTTTTCCAGTCTTCCAGCCCTCAATAGGGTCCAGATATCCTCCAGAAGAGATTCATCTTGTTTCTGTGTAGCCACATAAGCATATTATTACAGATTCAAAAGTTATTAGAATGCTACAACTTAGTACTTAGAGCACTCTCACCACAATCCTGTCAAAATCTAAATTAATTTCCACTCCAATTTCCTCTCTTTCATATCCTCTCTTTCATATTCTATTTCAAAATTATTTTCATTAAATGCACAATAATATGAGCAAAATTAACTTATGGAAACACCACAGGTACCATACTAGGAGATAACAACACTAGTTAAAATAAGATTAATATAATTATTAAGTTAAAAGTACAATATTACTTTGTCATCCAGTAACTGATGCGCATGTTCTCGGGTTGGAGCATCAAAATCCAAGTGTTGAACAGTATTTGTATTGGAGGCACCTTTCTGTAGAAACCGTTGTGTCTGGTGCCAAATTCCTGACTTTGGAAGATAGGTGCCAACATGAGATCCTTGCACCTGCAATCATTAATAAATACCCTGTCAAACAAAGCCAGTAAACTATCAAAACTTTCAGCAGCAACTCAAACATCATGATGCTTGAATGCTGAACCTGGTTTTCCCAACACAGACAAATTAAGACCAAATTCCAACAAAACATGTGCATGATCAGTCATTGAGAAAAAGGTAATGTTCGCCACTTTCAATATGTAAATCTCCTCCAGAAGAGTTACAGTCGCGTTTGTTGAAAGCATATGTCCATAAGTTCAGAAATCAAACCCAAAGCTCTTATTATGTTGCAAAACCAGACTATAGGACAGAAAAGCACGTTCAATAAGAAAAGTCAGGCACGCAAGAGAATCTCTCTTTTTTTGGAAGATAATAAATTTCATCCAATAAAGCACACATAAGAGGTGAAAGACATCATGAATATATCTATCCTATAACAAGTTAGAGAGTTTTTGGGACATTGTATTTCAGCATAGTTAGAGAAAAAGCAGATTATGGATGAAATACTTGGTTGAAAGAACCCAAGGTAGTGAAAATAGCATAGGTTTTTCATTGATGAAAATGACTAGCTATTAGATTCTGTGTATATAGCAGTGACATATTACCACCAAAATCAGGAAACACCATGAGCACAAATAAATTTTTCCTTGCAGTTGCATTACATCTATTACAAGCCAATCCTTGACTTAAAAGTCATATCCTACAATACCATATCCGATCCACAAAGAGAAGACTGACTCCAATATTTCTTTTTTCTATATTTTACAAACATTGGGATACCTCCACTGCTAAATTGATAAATACTTGTTCATAACACATGAAGCCCACATCTCAGAACATCAGACTACAAATTCAACAAGACTTGATCCAGTTCCCAGGGGGGCTATTAGTGCATAGGACTCAAACTCAACTGTTTGCTCTAATTTACTTAAAGTCATGACTTTCAGCAAAAAATAATAAAATGGCTGTAGTTAAATAAGAGATGGTGCTAGCCTGTCACTAATTATTTCACAATCCCAATCCATGAATGATCCCCAATTTATAATTTAGCTTAAATGTCATACCCATTACATCTAAAACCAACTTCAGATTCAATATCACATACCAGGATAAGAAACAGGAAGAAAAAAACATACTACATATGCAGGGTTGAAAAAACCTAACGAAACAACCCACCACCTCTCATCAACTAAAAGAGAAATGGACAAGAATGACTATCTCAACAAGTGTTCTGCAGAACTCCAATGCATTTCTAGGGATGAAATGTTCTATTTAATGAAATTTGAGGAAACCGATCACCTTGCTTTCCAAATCAAGGGCTTTAGAGGCTAACCCTTCCAGCCATTGAAGGATTCGGAGGCACAACTGTGCTGTATGGTCATTCACGACAAACTGGCAAGCCTCCAAATGCGATGTTGATGGTGACTGTTATAAGCCAATATGTTGAAATGAGAATACACAGTTTAAACCTTTTAAAAGAGTTAAAAATAATGGCAGTTTTGGAAACATAGAGATAATTTGTCCTGTTAATGGAAATGAAGATACCACAATCAGCTCTTCAGGGGGCTCCTCCGTAACTGCAAGAAAAATGAAAAATGTTGTTCATAAACTTCAATGCTCAATGGGATGGGATTTGACAGAAACACAGAACCAAGAAAGTTAGAGAAAATAAACCACCCAATACCCAATTGGCATCACCACCAATGCCTTATTGACAACCTCAAAATTTACTCCCACATAAGCGGATGAACTTATTGCAATATTATAATATGAATTATCAGAAAGTAACATTTATCTATCCCTTTTGCATCATCAGACAAGCATCAAGGATGGTATAATGTCACCACAACTTAAAAGGCACTGTGCAAATGTTCGATAAGAGTAAATTCACACATGAAGATGAATGACAAGCGCACAAAAGAAAAATAAAGGCCGTAACCCAAATCATAAATGCACCTAAGCAAACATGCACAAGAACTCCCCCCCCCCCCCAACAAACAAACAACACACGCCCCCC